CCATGATCACTCTGGATGAACTGCAGAGAACTACAGCTGAGGTGGGAGAGTCTGTCCATAGGACAACAATCAGTCGTACACTGCACAAATCTGGCCTTTATGGAAGAGTGGCAAGAAGAAAGCCATTTCTCATAGATATCCATAAAAAGTCTCATCTAAAGTTTGGCACAAGCCACCTGGGAGACACACCAAACATGTGGAAGAAGGTGCTCTGGTCAGATGAAACCAAAATCGAACTTTTTGCCCACAATCCAAAACGATATGTTTGGTGTAAAAGCAACACAGCTCATCACCCTCAACACACCATCCCCACTGTCAAACATGGTGGTGGCAGCATCATGGTTTGGGCCTGCTTTTCTTCAGCAGGGACAGGGAAGATGGTTAAAATTGAGGGGAAGATGGATGCAGCCAAATACAGGACCATTCTGGATGAAAACCTGTTGGAGTCTGCAAAAGACCTGAAACTGGGACGGAGATTTATCTTCCAACAAGACAATGATCCCAAACATACAGCAAAATCTACAAAGGAATGGTTCACAAATAAACGTATCCAGGTGTTAGAATGGCCAAGTCAAAGTCCAGACCTGAATCCAATCGAGAATCTGTGGAAAGAGCTGAAAACTGCTGTTCACAAACGCTCTCCATCCAACCTCACTGAGCTCGAGCTGTTTTGCAAGGAAGAATGGGCAAGAATTTCAGTCTCTCGATGTGCAAAACTGATCGAGACATACCCCATGCGACTTGCAGCTGTAATCGCAGCAAAAGGTGGCTCTACAAAGTATTAACGCAAGGGCGAATAATTTTGCACGCCCCACTTTTAATATTTTTTATTAGTTAAAAAAGTTTCAAAAATCCAATAGATTTCGTTCCACTTCAAAATACTTTCGCAAGGCACTGTATGTTGATGAATGTGGTCTTTCTTTGTCCCATGAGCTCCATATCTATCCGATTGTTTACACTTGGTAAATGTGCACTCATATAGCGCTTTTATCCAAAGCGCTTTACACTGTGTCTCATTCACCCATTCACACACACACTCGCACACCAATGGTAGCAGAGCTGCCATGCAAGGCGCTAGCTTGCCATCGGGAGCAACTTCCATATACACTTCGGCATGTGGAGTCACCCGGGAATCGAACCAACCCTACGATTAGTGGACAACCCGCTATACCAACTGCGCCACAACCGCCCCACTTACACTTGCATGAAAGTAAAAACAATTTTCATTATTTTGTGATCCACCACAAAGGATTTGATATGATGCAATCCAGATGTGGTTGAAGTGAAGGACATCATCAAAGGAACCTACAGGCCTCTCTCGCATAAATAAAGGTCACTGTTTATGACTCCACTATCAGAAAGACACTGGGGGAAAATGGCATCCATGGAAGGTTGGTGAGGTGAAAACCACTGATATTCCAGAAGAACATTAAGGCAGATCTAAATTTTGCCAAAACACACCTTGATGACCCTCAAACCTTTTGGGAGAATTTTCTGTGGATTAATGAGTCAAAAGTGGAACTGTTTGGAAAACAGGGGTCCCTTTTACATCTTTCTACAGAATACATTATATCAATTATTATACATTTTCTTTGCTTAATAATGTTACGTTTTAGTCTCTTTTTTTATTTGTTTATTTTTTTAGGCTTTGATAAACCTGCATAAACCTGCATCTGTAACCATGTTGCTAACATAACTTGCTAACATAATTTTTCATAATGTTCTGCCTCAAAGTGCAGTAACAGACTTTGATACGAAGACACTGGCCCATGCTGTATAACCTAACTAGACTTACTTCTACTAAGTTACTCTATTAATATGTAGTCTCTCTGGAGTAACCAGCTGAAAGTTGCTGACTTTCTTAAACCACAGAAGACAGTAATATTAATGTAATCCTTTAGTCACACTTCATGACCCCTTATCTATTCATCTTCTACATGGTAATGCTTCATAAAAAATGCATTGCTTGCTGAATTGACCTTGAAAATGCAATCACTGCTACAATAACACTGTGCTGTTGTAACTTGTGCATCTGTTTTTGCAGGACTGTGCTGGTGAGGACACACGGGACCATCACCGTAGCCATGCACAAGATGGTGTCATAAAGTCTCTGGATGCATGCACCATCATCACAAAATCTTGCTAATGTACAGAAACCTGGCCGATACACATTACCATGTATCTGCTTTGGATTAGAAAAGGACTGTCTGCATTATATGCACTATATGCATATCTCATAATTGCTCTGTGTTGTGCTTTGCTTATAATGGCATATTTTGCAGGATTTGAGTAACTGTGGCCTCAATGCACTAATATAGTGCTTGCATATTCTTTTACAACTAGATACATTTCCTAATTATTCAGTGCTTCCAGGTTTAACTCAAAATTTCAAATGTAAAATGTTACTGTTAATAAATTATTTAAGTTATTTGATGTCTTGTCCTAAAGTTCTATCAAATGTAATGCTTAGTTGTCTAAAAAAAATATATATATATATATATATATATCTTAATATTTGTAACACTGTATATAGCCCGTTCTTATCACTGACCTTTCTAACAAAACACTTTTTACTTCAAATACTTCTGAGAAGTATTTGTGAAAATTGGTGCATGATTTCAGTCAAGTACAAAGTGTTATTACAGTCCCTGCCGAAATATGAACAATTGTTAAAAACAAAAGAATTGGTCTTGCTGTTCTGATACTTTTGGAGGGGTCTATACGTTCAATTTAGTATTGTTTGTGTATTTAACAACATATATTGTCACGCAGCAGATTATTTAATATACTTCCAGTGTATATCATCTCAAAATTATACACATGATGTCTTTTTTGATTTTGTCCTTGAAAATATGAACAAAATGTAAGCATAAGCAAAGATCTTTACAAAATTATAATGATGGAGGAAAGAAAGTGTTCAGACAGCAGAAATGACTAACATTAGTACTTTGTTGCTACTTCTCTGAAATGCTCTTAAGAATAGTCTTAAGCTTTGACTTAAGTGTTAAATAATAATAATAATTTTAAAAAAATCTTAATAAAATAGGAATTGTGTAAGAGTAGGAGCATTTTATAAAGAAGCTAAAAGCAACTTTTAGCAAAGTCTAAGACTGACTCTTAAGTGCTGACTGAGGTGACACTTAAGTGTTGTACATGCATTTATTTTACACAATTTAAATAATGAGCTTCAACACATGAAACGTGATGCTTTTTAAGTAATTAAGCCGATAAATTCTCACTTGCACTCACAGCTGAGGGAGCTGTGCTGTGAGGAAAAGACAATAGATTTAAAGGAAAGACCAAAGTTGCTTATATTTATAAATAATAATAATAATAAATAACTAAATTTGAAAAAACCTGGTCCAAGGAAGAATGTGTTCTAGTGCAGTCAGACCTTAACTTGAAGGAGGGGATAAGAGGAAGATTTTACTCTTGAGTGGCTTTATGCATACGGCCCCAGGTGCAGTTGGCAAAAGCTATCATGAGCACATACTCACTGAAACTAGACAGTTGAAAACTGAAAAAAGACTAGTGTCCCTATACTTAAAGCTACTCAGACATCATTTTAGTTTTTTTCCTAGACTTAAGTATAAGTGTGATTTATAAAGGTTCCTAAGTGTTAAGTCTAGGTCTCAGCTCTTAAATTATTTAAGAGTGCTGGAGAGGTATCCTAACCAAGTTAGGAGTAACAAGATGGCAGCAGAGAGGCGGAGACCACATACTTTCCAACAAATAAAGAATGTGTTGGAATTATATGATGACAGGGAGTTCTTAAAACGATACAGGCTTGATCATCAAGGAATTATTTTTGTTACTTTCCTAGTAAGAAATTCATTAACTTTTCACATTAAAAAACTTTTATAAAAAAATTTTTTTTTCTACCAATGTAACCAGTGATGACTTGGGCCCATTATAATTTTTATTAAAAAAAATAAAAAAACCACTTTTTTCAAAAAAAACACAACAAAAAAAAAGCCCAGTTCATTGACTTCCCAACTGACCTTCAAACCATAGTGCACGCTTCCCCGGGAGTGCTCCAACTGTGAATGAGGAGACATAGAAAAGGATTCCACAGCATCAATGTTCAAGCTGTGTTTGATGCCAATTACAAGATGCTGGATCTTGTGCCAAAATGGCCAGGGTCAACCCATGATGCTCAAGTTCTTTCCCAGAGTGGCCTCACTGGGTTATTTGCATAAAATTATGCTCGCCCTGGATATTATCTGCTGGGTGAATCAGGATACTGTATCCTTTAAAACGTTGGCTTCTCACCCCTTACAGAAGACCACAAGCAGAACAGCAGTTTAGTTATAACAGGTGACTGAACTGTAGACAAAATACCAATGTTGTTCACTGAGTACATTCCTGACTTATCGTTTTTTTTTTTTTTTTTTTTTAACAAGGAGCACACAAAGTAACGAGAGGAATTGGACAGCTGAAAAGGAGAGTCCATGTCCTTCATGGAGAGATTCGACACTCCCCCGAGTGCTCTACTCGCATTATTATGGCTTGTGGCATTTTACACAATATTTGCAAAGCTCATAAACTTCCACTTCTTATTGATGATGATGATGATTGTTTTGAGGAGAATGATGACAATACCACTGACCACACATTACAGAGTGTTACAGGGATTGCATTGCCAATTTACATTTTGAGTAAGTAAAACTGGTTGATGATAAATAACATTGCACAAACTTGTCCTTTACACAAAACATGTATACAATCAATGAGTATTCTTTAATCTTTTCAGTTTTAGTGTGTAATACTCATTTTGCACTTCCAGCAACTTTATTTCTAGTTTGGGTTTTCTTCTTTTAATAGACTCAATGTCATCCAGAGGGGCTGCGGTCTGTGCAAACCCTCTGTCTTGTGAGGCAGAAGGCCTCATCTGGAGGACATGGGGAGCTGTGCTGAGATGATCCAAGAGAAGATAATTAAAGTAAAAGTTGTAAAGTTATAAAAAAAAACACAAAAAAAACGCAAACACGTTACTACACGGGCGCATGGTGGCGTAGTGGTTAGCACGTTCGCCTCACACCTCCAGTGTTGGGGGTTCGAGCCCTGCTGGGGCCACGTGTGTAGAGTTTGCATGTTCTCCCTGTGATGCGGGGGATTCCTCTGGGTACTCCGGTTTCCTCCAAAGACATGCATGGTAGGCTGATTGTTGTGTATGAATGGGTGTGTGATTGTGCCCTGCGATGGACTGCCCCCCCCTGCCTTGTGCCTGATGCTCCCTGGGATAGGCTCCAAGTTCCCCGTGACCCTGAAAAAGGAGTAAGTGGTATAAGATGGATGGATGGACATTACTGGACATACTACATATGTTTTGGTAAATGGTCTTTTATAGCGCTTTTATCCAAAGCACTTTACACTGTGTCTCATTCACCCTATTCCCATACACACACAGTCCTGGAAATATAATACCTCAGTGTTCTGATTATATTTAGTCTAAAACAGTTTACATTTTACAGCTTTCATTATATAAAAAAAAAGATGCCAGAGGCTTTTCTATAGATTATAATAAACAATTCTTCTTGTTAGCTCAGAGGTTTATATCGATGTGCCAGCCTAGGCCTTTCCTATTAGCTTGTCAGAGTTCAATTTTTTTTGTGTCTAACATCAGGCAACTTTAGCTTAGTTAGGAAACTATTTCTAATAACCATATAAATACAGTCATGCACTTTTAATGTAACATACTTTCTCCCGGAAGAACCACTGAATATTTAAAGATAGAAATAATGAATGGGTTTATTGTACAAACACAAATGAACGATATACAAAAAACAGAAACAAAGTTGATGGTTGATGGTCATGGACATAGGATGGTAATAGAATTACTGACATAAAGCCCCTTTCTTTAATACCCCTTTGTAATTTAATACTCTTTGTAATGTATAGTGACCAAGATACCAAATGGGAAATAAAACAATGTGTTTCATGCCAGGATGGACCCCCAGCTGATTAGGAACTGTATGTTAATTAAGTTATGGAGAATGGGTTGGTGGGATCAAAAGGAAAAATGTCCCTCAATGCAAACCAGGGGTGCCAGCGTGTTCTCTCTCTCTCTCTCTCTCTCTCTCTCTCTCTCTCTCTCTCTCTCTGTGTGTGTAGAAAGAGCATATATTACAACATATATTGTAAATGTTGTCACCTGAACCTATATGATATTTATGACATCACCACATCGTTCATCATGAAATATGGATAAAAATTATACCAAACAACTCATGAGGAATACTGTAATTAAACACAGTTCAGATGACCAGTTTTGGTTTCCCCGGTATCTCTATAACACATTCCCCATCATTTTAACCTTAATCAAATTACTGCCACAATTTATACTGTAGATCTTCTACAATTTTCTTCATATCATCGTTGTAACTCCTTCAGTTTGAACAGGGCAGGGCCTGGGGCATCTGCAGTATGTGCTCATGATAGCTTGTGCAAACTGCACCTGGGGCCGTATTCATATAGCCACTCAGAGTAAAGTCTTCCTCTTATCCCCTCCTTCCATTTAAGGACTAACTGCACTAGAAGAACATTTTCTTCCTTGGCCCAGTTTGGTTTTCTTTTTAAATCCCTTTTTTTTTTTTTTAAATATAAGCAACTTTGGTCTTTCCTTTATATACAGCTGTGAGTGCAAGTTAGCATGATGTGATTTATCGGCTTAATTACTTAAATAGCATCAGATGTTTCATGTGTGAAACTTGTTATTAAAACTGTGATCACCACAATTTTGGTTCTCACCATTTTGTGTAATCTGTTTTGTGTAAAGACTGTCATGTGTGAAAATCCCAGAAGTTAGCAGCTTGTGGAATACTCAAACCAGCCCATCTTGCACCAACAACCATGCCATGATTAAAGTCACAAAAATCACACCTGTTCCCCATTCTGATCTTTGATGTGAACATTAACTAAAGCTCTTGACTTGTATCTGCATGAGTTTATGCATTGTGCTGCTGTCACATGATTGATTGATTAGACAACTGCATGAATGAGCAAGTGTGCAGGTATTCCTCTTAAAGTGGACGGTGTATATATAATGTTGCAATGCCATGGTTTAGCCACATGGCTGCAGTAGCTGTAAGACATATTGTTGTATCAAAAAGGCATAGGAAAATATCTTAGCAACTGTTTGTCGTTTCCTTAGAGAACACCAAGTGTGTACATAGCTACATATCATCATACAGATGTGCAGACACTAAACTCTACATGTGACCATTGGTGTAGTAATACAACTGCGGTTCTGACATTTTACCACCACTACCTGCATTTATCCAGATATTCTTTATAGTTCTTTGTGTTTGATGCCAATTACAAGATGCTGGATCTTGTGCCAAAATGGCCAGGGTCAACCCATGATGCTCAAGTTCTTTCCTGTTTCCTGGACTGTTTCTTATAACAGTGATGTTCCATCTTATTTAGGGGGGTGGAGTGCCTTTTGTATTTAATTGCTCAACTGGTCCAGTTAACAGTTTGTTCTCAGAAGCTACAGGAATACAGTACGGTAATGGAATTGTTGTAACCGGAATCTGATTATGGTCAAAAAAGTGTTTAGAGGCTTATAATCCATAAATTAAAGAGGATCTTCAGTAGTTGTGTTTGCACATCTGTATGTACAATGAACAATTTAGCATTTTAATATTGGATAAATGCTTTCAGGTTAAAGAAATTTGGGGAAGGTTCACCTTCATTATTTTACTAGAATTATTAGAATTTGCTAGAATCAGTGTCAGCCTACTGGGGGAACTCTCTTATGTAAATAATGTAGAAATAGGGATTATCGTCAAATTCAAAACCGTATGTTTTATTGAAACCTCTTTATCCATGTCAGGGCCACAGTGACTCCAGAGCATATGCTGGGAATTTTGGGCATGAGGAGGGAATTCACCCTGGGTGGGATTCCAGTTCATTGGTGGCACCGCGCGCACACACACACACACGCGTGCACACACACACACACACAGTCATTCACACCTACAGACAATTTATCGTAGCCAATGCCCCTACTGGCATGTTTTTGGGAGGTGGGAGGAAGTACCACAACATGGTGTGAGAAGTTTAAGAATTAATTTATTTTCAAAAGATTTTTTAATGTATGTACTTTTATTATTATTATTCTTTTAAGCATTTTTTTTCATATGTAGAGCATGTGGTTTCATTTTTCAAATTTCTCATACACACACACAAACACACATACAGTGGGGGATATACGTGTTCAACGTGTCAACATTTTTTTCAGTAAATATATTTCCAATGACGCCAGTTTCACCAGACATCAGTTTTAACTCAAGAACTCTGAAAATATAAAGAATTCACAACATTAAAGTCCACAAATAAAGTTATCTGTAATAAAGTGGACTGACACTGGAAAAAAGTATAGAAAAAGCTAAGAAAAAGCAGTTCTCCAATGCAAGGTAAGGCTAGGAACCAGCTGAAATCCATAAGTAGTTAGAAAGTAATTATATCTCCTATCTGTGCGAATTAATATCAGTTGGGTTAGTAAATTGATGGACTATAAAAGGGCTTTTCATTACCAAGGTGTCACACAAGACACATCTCATGATGGGTAAAAGCAAAGAGCTCTCTCAAGACCTTTGCAACCTTATTGTTGCAAAACATATTGATGGAATCAATATTGATGGATACAGATGTATTTCAAAACTTCGGAATCTTCCAGAAAGCACCATTGAGGCCATTATCCACAAGTGGAAGCAACATCACTCGGTCATCAACGCCACGCACAGGAGCTCCTCGCAAATATGGTGTTGGAATGGCCCAGTCAATCACCTGACTTGAATCAAATTGAACAACTTGAATATTGCAGCCAGTTAATTTCTTAATACAGGAAGCATCTTGAAGCTGTCATTACAAAGAAAGGCCTCTCCAGTGAGCATTAAAAACATTTCAGTTAGGGTGTTCAATACTTTTTTTTCCTTTGTCATTCAGCTTTATAACACATAATGTCATTTATGGACTTTAATTCTTGAATTTCTTTATATGTGTGGATTTCTTGAGTTAATACCAAAATCTGGTGAAAATGTCATGTGACTAGCCTCATCGGAAATATGTTTACTGAAAACAATGTTGACGCATTCAATATATATTTCCCCCACTGTGTGTGTGTGTGTGTGTGTGTGTGTGTGTGTGTGTGTGTGTGTGTGTGTGTGTGTGTGTGTGTGTGTGAATGACACGTGTCTACATAAACATACAATACACATTACTCACATAAACATCTCAGGCTAAAGACATGTTCCCATTTGTAAAGGGTAAGCTTGGTACTTGATCTCTGGTTGTTACAGGAGAAAGGTTGCACTAGAACTGACACTCTGACATATCCTGTGCCTCTTCCTTAACCTGAAGAGGCCTGCTCCCTAAAAAGGGAGACACTTGTTTTTGCATAACCACAGCCCGCCTTGTCGCACGCGGTTTCGGGTCGAACCTTATGGTCAAGATTCCCGTCACGTGGTCCTCACCACGTGGTCCAGAGCTCCAGCGCCACAGCGCGAGCCAGCGCAGATCAGTAGTGCTCAGCCTGTAAAACTTGTAAAACTGAGATAAACTCCGGGAAGAAACGAGAAGGCATAAAAACCAGCCATGGTCAGACATGATATCCTTAAGGCATATCATTGTTTAGAATTAGCTGTGTGGAAGGGCTGTGCGGACGGAGCAGAGCGCGCGGCTGTAGATGCTCAGGAGAACAGACGTCACCGCAGCTCCATCCTTCACCACTGACTGCACCAAGCCTTCATGCCGTTTCATACAGTAAGGTAACACGCTGCTGCTTTTACTCCGACTCCCTCGTTCGTGATGAACTTTTTAGCTCTTTATCTGCGAGGTCATTTGGGTTTAAAATCTAGCAACGATTATATTAAAGTGAGCAAGGGAATTTAATTCAACTCAGAGTCCGGCGCCTGAGGGTGTAGGGTGATATTAACCCTGTTATACCATAGTAATGTGATACTGGAGCAAAACTTTGCACAGTTTTGGCTCTGCGATTTACCCTCATTCAACCAAAAACATTTTCTCATACATATGATCCATAAAACATCAACCTATTTTATACACACAGT